GACACTCCCACCAATCCCCTACCCATGCGTGTCTCGTATGCCACAATTTCCGTAATCAACAACCCCACCTCCCCACGAGTGCTTCCGAAATATAATAAGAATGGTCCCAACTTTAAAAAAAATATTAAAAAATACAACCAATCGTTTTTCTAGTTCATATTCACTGCCAGATCTTCATTAGAGAGGGCTAAAACGCCCAAACCCGAAAATTTAGTAATTTTTTAAAATCGGGGAAAATTTTTTTCCACCGGGTCTCTTAAAAATCGTAGTTTTAGAGGGTCTTGGCGTACAATCGTAAAAGACATCTAAAAATCGTACATTGTACGCCAAAATCGCAAGAGTAAACAGGTCTGCATTAAAAAAAAAAAAAAATGCACCACAAAATGTTTAAAATATTCTTTTCAAGAGGCAATATTTGAGTACAAGAATCAATTTAACTATAAATGTTAACATTGTCTAAACTCTAAAAATACACAAACCTGGTGGTCCGTAAAACAATACACCTCGGGGTGGGTCTACTTTAAAACGTTGAAATACTTTGTCATAGAGAAGTGGAAACACTACCATCTCTTTCAAAGCACGGATGTGTTTTCCTAAGCCACCAATGCTACTGAATGTAACCTGATAGTAATGCAGAAAAGAGGAATATGAAAAAAAATTAATTATATTTTTTTAATGTCCTGTTCCAATGTTGATGGTTATATATATTTTAAATAGCAGGTTGTTTTACATTTAACCGTGACACAGAGAATTAATAAATTTAAAAGAGCTTCTTACATTTCTGTCTATGTTCATTGGTTCAACATCAGCAAGACTTGCCCCTGACTTTACTCTGTCTTTGATTATATTTGAAGGTGGAAGCGCATTGGAGGAGAAGTTCATAGGCATCATTCTTGTAGAGGAAAAAAAATGACAACTTTCTTAAGAAGAATAACACTTGTGTAAAAGTTATTTTCTATCCCTCCATATTTATTCAAAAATGTTTCAGCTGGTTACTGAGAAGATTCATTTGGCATAAACCTCAAAAAGTTTATAATCAAAAGTAAGAGGTAATTATAATTATAAAGTCCAAATATAAACTCTCAAAAGCTACCTCTCAACTGTTACAGGAAGCATATTATTTTGAATTTTAAAATTATGAACCTTCACTATTCCATTTATCAAACTTTAAATGCTATCTATAAAATCTAAGGGGAAAAGTGTCATTTTCAATGATCTTATATTGGTATAGCGGGATTAAAATCACAAAAACATAGTTCACATTTATCAAGGGAATACATCGATATAAATATATATATATATATATTTATTTTCTATCCATGAATAGAAAATGAAAAGATGTTTCAATACTATGCATTATTATTATTTCAAACTTTACTTAAACCAATATTAATAAGTGTCCCATAATTAAGTAGACAATGACAAACCAAAGATAAGGTCATTTAAGGTTCCTTGTATTATTAATTTTTAATCAGATTCTTTTTATAGACAATGTCCTATTCTGGTAAAAATTCAAAGGAATACTTTATTTATTTGAACAGAAAGCTTCATGGCATAACATTATTCAAGCAATTAGACTAATTCAAATATTTTTTTATTGAATAGTAACAAGACAATTAGGGAAATTTCAAATAACCTTTACATTCCAATTTACATCTTGTAATAGCACTAATCATATAAATGACAATTTCATTTCAGAGAAAATGTATATCTTATAATATTCTTTTACTGTTTCAAAAAGTCTTGAATTCTTTTCCTGTTTCAAAAAGTCTTGAATTCTTTTCCAAGATATAAAAGTTTATTAGTAATTTAAAATATTTTTACCTGCTTCGAGCTTTAGCCATACTTTTTGCTTTGCGGTGCTTAAAATTTTTCTCATCACTACTTTCACTGCCAGATGAAGATGTAGAACCTGAACTTGAGTGGAATGCAGAACGTTTTCTGAAAATCACATTAAAAACCCTTACTAAATTTATCAACAGCTAGCTTTGTGATATTTTTTAATCTGTGGATAACTTGATCCTCGAACATAAATATTTTATTACTTTCAGAGGTTCTTAAAAAGTGTTGAAAGAATTCAATAAAAATGGTGAATTCTTTATTATCATCTTACCTAATATTTCTTCTTTGTGCTGGAGAATGATATGTCTGATTTGCACCCTTTTTGGTAGGAGTGACAGCAAAGATAGAGTGAATTCTCCTGATACGTCGTTCTGGTGAAACAAAATTAAACTACATAATATAATTTAAATAATATATGAACAAGGATTGTTAATTATTTTATCTTATATTGCACATATGATTACTAAGCTATTTACCTTCAACTGGAGCTTTATATAAATTAGTGCGAGGCTTATGCTCTCTTAAGGAATACGATTTGACCACTGTAGGCTCTTTCTTTTTCATTTTTCGCCTTGTAACTCTCTTGCTGTCAGCTTGGTTTTCTATATCATCACCAACAAAATTGTCATCACTGTTGCCTTGAGAATCTTCATCATCTTCAATTTTATTGTTATTTTTATTTCGGCTATGTTTATCTGCAACGATCAAGAAATTTAAAAGGGAAACAGGTTATTTAAAGATAAAAAAGTTCAAGTTATAACAGAAAATCTTTGTATCCCAATTTTGAAACAAAATATTACACCCCACTCCCTTTCATAAAATGTTACACGTCTTACCATGCTCTGAGTCCGAGTCACTATTAATAGGCACTCCATACATATTACGTTTCACTTGTACTCTCTTTCTCTTAACACGGCTGTACATGTCAGAAAATACCTAAATAATGGAAATGTTAATGTTTTTATTCATGACATTTGTAAATAGTATAGAGAAATGATAGATCTCAACTCCTATTGTAGTTGTAGTGTAAGGACTGATTGCACTATACTAGATTTTGAATTCATGGTTTAGCCATGTAGATAGCAAGTAGTTAGTTCATTTTCAAGAGATATGATCTTTAATGTTTATCTCTTAAGGTAGACATGCTGGCCTAAACGAGTGGTCGGCAAATCCAGCTCATCCAGCGCTTTGGCGACCAGAGTGCGGCTCAGCCAGTCAGCCTCAAATCGGTTTTGACTCCGTGATAGATTCTTGAAAAGAAATTCGGCTCTCAAAATTATTTTTAAATGTCCCGCTGCTGATTTTTTTTACTATTGAGTTTAAAACCTTTTGCGTATGTAAAAAAATTACTTGAAGACAGGACACCCAGGTTTCCGGGGGGTGTGTTATCGTCAAAGTTAAATAAATACAGTTTTTGACTATGAACTTGTTTTTAATGGTCGATAGTTATTACCTTGTTATCTTCACTATCTTCCTGATCCTTATTGTCAGATTGATCACCCTCCTCTGATGCACATGTCTTCTGACCAGGTCGTCTTACAAGATAAGATTGGTTGAGTGTGTCATAGACCTGCATATTATAAAGGTAAGAATTAAATTTTTAAAAATAAAATGAAATTATTCTTCTAAACCTTTGGGGCATATCAATGATGTTTTTGTTTTTTTAAAACTTTTGTTTTTTGTGGAATTTATTGTTAGTTACTGTACAAAAAAAATAAAAAAATCAAATGTCACAAATGAACTTAAGCAGTGACTGATGTTTTTTTAGAACAGGGGTCCTCAACTTTTTAAACAGGGGGCTGGTTCACTGCCCCTCAGATACTCTTACTGTCTGGGTGGGACTAAAATTTGAAAAAATATAACTAATTCCTATGCACACTACATGTTCTTATTTGTAGTCGGGGGAAAAAAAAAAATGAAATGTGTAAGTGCTAAAATAAAACGATCAATACCATATTTAAAATGAAGTACAGTTTTAAATCAAGATAAAATAATTAGTATTTCAATGGGAAGAGTGGGCCTGCTTTTGCTTAATGAGATGGTCAACGTCTAGTTCTATATTTGTCCCTGATACTCTGGTACCCCTACAACAGGCACGGTTTAGCCCCTGGCGGGCTGGAGATTGAGGAACCCTGGTTTAAGAATATGCTAGACAAGGTTCACATAGGTCAAGGGTGCCAAAAGATTGTAGCTACACAGGTGACAATATTAGTTGTAGATTAAATAGACACCAACAATTTGTGTCAATATAACATATAAGGTTAGCTTTAATAATACTTAGTTGTACCGTGACTGGAAGGCCTGTGATTACTATATATACAAAATATCAATGGCCAGAACTTTTATCGAAATTAACATAATAAATTTATCAATTTTGCAATCATTTCCCCCCAAAAAGTTATTTTATTTACATACAGAGTAAACAATAAACAGAGCTGAACTACCTGACGTTTGGTACGTGAACTTCGGCGTATTAAAGTATCAGTCTCATCCCCTTCATCTTCTGATGCATCATGCTGCCTCCTGGAATTCCTTGGGCGTCTGCTTTCATCAATTTCATCATCATCTTCCTCCTCCTCTTCCTCGTCATCATCTTCATCACTGTCAGAGTGCTGATGCTTTTGAGTTGGCCTGCCTCGTCTTGCAGTCCTGCTTCCAGTTATCTTGTCCGAAATAAGTTCACAACTTTGAGATTTTTTAGTTCTTGTATTTGGGCTATTGTCTTCGCCGTCTTCTGGTATTGACTGTTCTTGATCTTCGTGCGATGAAGCTCTCCGTGATCTGTCTCTAGGCTTGTTTCTATGTTTAGTCCCTATCTCGTGTTTTATTCTATTTGATCTAGTGAAGCTCGACATTTGTTGCCTTGATGAAAAATCTTTAGAATGATGTGTTTGTCGTCTTAGTGAATCTGTGAATTTAAAACTAGATTCTAGAAAAAGAAACAGACTGTAAGAAAAACAGAAAAATTCAGGAAATTGATTGATTATTTACTTAGTTTACATGTTTTAATGTATAAAAATGCCTAAATAAATAAATAAATAAATAAATAAATCCTAGCAAAATACAGTCTATTTAAACAAAACAATAATTTACTATTAAACATTTTTACCTTCATCTGATGATTCAACATCAAGATAGTTGTATGCTCTCCTGTAATACAGAGTGTATTTTTAAGATATCAATTTTATGAAGTAAAACATCTATAGAAAATTGGTTCTTATATTTTTTTTTCTTTACAGAAGCTTGAATTAAGCGATTAAGTTCAAAACCTAAGTAGATCCATAATTTATACCTTGGGCCAATACGAGGTCTCAATCGTGACTCTACCACTTTCTCATTAAAAATATTATATGCATCTCTGTCCTCTCTGTATGTTTTAGAGACATTTCTGTCATCACCACTAGCTAGAGCCTGGAAAATAAAAGTAATATTTTAATTATTTAAAAATAATTTAAAAAAAAATTATTATTTTAAGTAAAAATATCATTAAAATTGTTTTTAAACTTAAATTGGCTTTTTGAAAATAACAGTTGGAATCTCATAAAAAATTATTAATGTGAATTTTATATATGTTCCTAACAAAAACATAGCACAGGAGCTTTTTTTTAACACATTACAAATGAGCCCTGGCTAAACTTAAGCAATCTGGGGGTAGGAAACTCATCAAATGAATGATCAATAATTTGATAGTGGGCCCTCAAAATATAGAATAAGATCAATAGCTTTAATATTATCATGGCATTTACATTCTATTCTTTGTACTGCTTGCTTGATGACTAAACAGTAAACCAAATTTATCTGGATAGGTATTGTTTAGGTGACGGCCTACTTGTTAAGCATGCAGTTGCACTTTTGTGTACAATGTAATAATGATTTTAAAAAGTAAACTTGTAGCCAGTTCTGTCACTGCATGCTATTTCGTTTTAATCATGGTAGCAAGTAGTAAGAAAATTAAAAGGTTTAAGCTGAGGCTTTAAGTTTCCTATAGTTAAGCCTATATTGTGCACATCATATTCTTTACGTGACATGATTGGGCAGGTCAATCAGAGAATATTGTTAAGGGATATGATATGGATAACTGTTGGCCCTAAACAACTCCCAATGTCTGCAGGAGGCCTCTTATTCTCTTATATTTAAGAGGCCCATGGTAGTTGTATGTAAACAGCCAACTATCTACTCTGAATGCAGTAGGCACAAAACCAAAAGTGGCAAGGAGCCTTCAAAAGTCACATGACAGCTCTGATGTAAAGGATCGGCTATTTCAGATTTAGCGGCCCACAACGACTTTGTTTTGGATTCACTCCCTTTATTTTTTAAATTTTTTTGTTAAAAGAGTTACATTTTCAATTTTAATTAAAATTCTATTGGTTGATTAATTATAATTGTAAAATTTTCATTGGTTGGCTCATTATCATATTTCTTTTGTTCCGCCATGTTTGAGATCTTTGGAGTGCCTGTGGGGTGTGGAGAGTTATTCATTTTGTGGCTATATTTTCCTTGGAAACTGAAATAAAGTGTGTAAAAGTGTATTTCATGAAACTGAAAGTTGGATTTTCATTATTTCTTCAGTTTATAATTATTTGGGGCCCTTTTTTATTGTTTTTCGTTAATTTTTATAGTTTTCTTCCCAAAGTCTGAAATTCCATGTGTTTTCGCTTGTGGATTTACGGCTAGTTTTTAGGGTTCAGGTTATGCTTAGGGATAGATTTAGGGTTAGGGTTAGGCATAGGGATTGATTTAGGGTTAGGCATAGGGATCGATTTAGGGTTAGGGATCAATTTAGGGTTAGGCATAGGGATCGATTTAGGGTTAGGCATAGATTTAGGGTTAGGGTTAGGCATAGGGATCGATTTCCGACAATTTTTTCATAAATTTTTCTTCCAAATTTTAGCAAACGTGAATTATTTTATTTTTTCATGGCCGCCATCTTGGTTTCCTCGACCCGTGCACACGTAAAAGTGCGCGGGTCGAGGCAACCAAGATGGCGGCCATGGAAATAGACTTGGGCCGCTTTCTCGGAATTTATTATAGGCCCGCAATTACTAAAAGTCCACAAAGTGACAAGTGAGTCTTCAGCAGTAGGCCTCACAACTTTTGGCTGATCAAAAACTATATACCTCACTGCAATGCGTACTTGGTAGAATGGAATAAAGAAGAATAAGAAACTAATTGCAGATTATTTATTAGTATTAGGCAGGCAATTAGGCTTAGGCTAGCCTGTTTTTACTTATTTTAGGCATGAGGCCATAGCCTACATTTTCATTCCAGAAGGATTAAAGGTGCATTCTATTTCAACATTTTCAAGTGTTTTTAAAAAAAACAACAACCTATCTGATTATTAAAATCATTATGACATTTTGTTATATTAGCCTATATTTATATGATTATCATTTCAATTATAATCATCCACACATGTGCCTCTGCAAAGTTAAAAAAAAAGGCCTTCTAAAAGCATAAATTAGTTTGATCACACTGACTTATCATTTTGCGGTTTGCATGCATTATATTTAGAATTATGGCCTATACTATGCATATAAATATGCACCATATTTATATATATGATATTGAAAAATTTTGTCACATTGCATGATTGCTCATTGCTTCCATTGGTCGATTGGACTGGATTGATTTTTAGCAGGATTATGGTGAGTTAATGACTGGCAAGATATAAAATGTCTTACATCACCGCTGCGTGTCGAATGGCGGTTTTTCTCATTGCTGAGTGATAAAAATTTGGGTGGCGATTCGACATCAATATCACCACTGTGTCTTGTCTTTACCATTTTGGTCCCTTTGTGGGCCCAAGTCAACAAAGGGTTGTTCTAAAAGGACAACAAAACGGTTAAAAGCGTTTCCGCAAAACCAGATTTTTTTGGCAAGACAGATGTTAATATATAAATCTTTGTCCCACAACTTTTCGGTCTCATTACACGTTTATAAATTATACTTTCAATAATTAAAAGCGTTATTGAATGAAGATGTGCTTCATTAATTTTGTTCAACATACGTTGAATGAAACTCGCGTAGCATGACCTTATTCAAAACGTATTAAGTGTTGCCACAACGAGAAAGTCCCATCCTGTCATAGTTTTCCCAGAATCCATCCATTATTTTTAATGTATGTTTTTAATGAAACACTTTAATTTTATAATAATAAATTTAAGATTTCAAACTTCTTTAAAGATGATTAAAATAAACCCTTTGTAATAGAATCAATTATATGAGAAACAAATCTGTATTATTTTAATATAATCCTTAAGAATAGTTTATTATTTTAAAGCACAACTAACGGGGCAAAACATTTTTAAAAATGACATGAGATAATTATCTTAAACATATTTAAGATTATCATCTTATTTCATTAAAAAAAAACAACAACAAACCACCAAGACAAACGAGTAGGCCTATAAAATTTGGTTTACATGCTGCTAAATATGGGTGACGTTTTTTCATTAACCAACTCACGATTACAATTATTATTTTTTTAACACTAGATTAAACACACGTAGTACTTATAAGAAATATATTATACATATTAAAAATGATCAATTATTAGTTTGCTTAATTTATTTAACTTATGCTGACGTATTTTCTCGTGCACCCAAAGTCTTAGTGATAACTGTAACTCAGTTCTAAGATTGTTGTATTTTGTGAAAATGGCGGGAGAGTTTGAAATGGGGGGAAAATAAACTGATTACATGTCGTTGCACTGCACCCAATGACCTATGAATATTTTGGAAATACTCTAATTTTAGCCGTTAGTGCATATACGAAGATTCTACAAGGATGAATTTTTATGTGACAAATTTATGTGTAAATTTATTTATTTTTATAAGGCAGGGCACATTTAATAAACGCACATATTATCTTAAAGTTACTGATTCATGATTCATAGTTAAGTTTTTAATTTTTTTAGGTTTTAAGTTTGAGCAGTGCTGTCGAACCACTTTGGTGGCACTGAAGGCACGGGTCCCTGTGGCGATTGTACTTTAATATAATAAAAATAATTGCGATTATAATAAAGTTATATAAATTTAATGAAAAATAAATTATTATTTCACAAGTATTAGTGATTTGACACCGCAGTCCGCAAGTTCACTGCAGATATTCGAAAGAAACTACACTTTGATCTTAGCCAAAACTCAGTTTTAAAAAAAAATATATTTATACTAAAACTTAAAATGAAATATATTTTTGCTATTTGAATGAAAAAAACCCCAAAGCATTGGACTATAAAAGGGTGAAGATCCTGTTTTTTTACACCCAAAATCTCGTTTTTAAAAATAGGTTTTCATTTTGAAACAAGACTTACGCGAGGAAACATTTAACTCACCGATATTTATCCAGTTTCTCTGTCCATGCTGTTCGGACCGGCAACGTAAGCCTCACGGACCGGTGCGGGTCCGCCGATTACCACCTTGGGAAACACTGATAAGGGGGGGGGGGGGGGGTATTAGAATGGATAAAAAAAAAAAATTGTGGAAACATAATTTTATTCAGAAATATTCTATCATGAAACTTTGACTAAAGTTAAAGCTGGTAGGGTAAAATAGGGCAGTTAGAGTAATCAGTTCAAAACAACTCGCTTGATTAATTATACTTATTTTGAGATCATTTTAAATGACGTGAGGTCTAGACACATAAATCGTCCTATTTAAAATAGCTTTTACATTTGAATCATCCTAAGAGCCGATTTGGATGCTTTACATCAATAGAGACAACTTTTTAAAATTTGTATTTTATTTTTTGTTGGGGGCGGGGAAGGGGTGTCGGAGTGGGGGGGGGGGTATGGCTTAGGTGCCAGAAAATGGTAGATTTTAGTTTACACGTAGGCTACGGCTGTAGCTGGAAAATCTAGATTTTAATTAATTTATTTTTAAATCTAAAAGTTACCAAAAAGTTGAATTGACAACTTTGACCCCGAGAATGCTCTTCAGAAATTCAATGATTTTACATGGGTAGGCAACTAGAAACTGTTAGTCTACATAAAAAAATTATTGTATCATTTTTTTTATTTAAGGAGATAGACATGTCAAGATTTATAGGATGAATCGCTGGTTGATGAATCGTAGAGTTATAATTAATGCTAAATTAATATTGCCATTATTTTATCTCCAAGCTCCATGGCCAGCTATGACAGTCACCAAGTCTGGTAGCTATGCTCTTCACCATCCAGTGCTTCTTGAACTTTTCACAGGGACTGATACCCATTTCATTAATTTTCTCCTTAAATAAAAAACAAAACAAAAAAACAACACAAAAAAAACCAAACAAAAAACACACAGCTATTTTAGGCCTGTGACCTATGGCTGGCAGACCGGCCCTAGTATGCGGACCGCCACTCAACACAGCACGACAAATCTCACCACGATGCCATACATCTCTTACTGATTAACGTTTTAACAGGAATTAAATTTTTCACAATAAATTATACAATTTTATTAGGGAAAAGATTCTCTCCATGGGTGAGTTAATATTTCTTAAAGGAGTGTTTACCGAGATCTAACACAGACACGATTGCCTTAGAAGGGATTACATCTAATCCATATCGCGGATTGAATCCCATAGTCAGAAATCAAAGGCATCATTCAGAATCTTTTATGGGAGTAGATATCTCAAAATTGTAGCTGGAGACTGGAGCCGTTAAAATTCGAATCGAAGCCGCGGGATCTATACACATTATTAAGGAAATCGTCGTGCACATGTTTTCATTGCAAATTGGAAATACAAATGTTATATTATGCTTTTTCCGTCTCTTGACAATAACGATCAGATTCAGATTCATTAAAAAAAAAAAAAAAAAAAAAAAAGCAGCACAGGCTCGTGATCGATTAATTATTTGTTTTTTCAATGTAACCCTTGTTACTGGGATTAGCTGTTACTGTTACCTTTTTTGAGTGGTCTATGCTGAACAGTTCAAGGTTGACATCGAAAGGGAAGTTATCTGTAGGTATATTTCACCTTATTATTACCCCCCTTTGACCCTTTGTTTTTGTTTTTTGATGTCTGTTTTGTTTCTCCTCTCGCTTAAGTCTAAATTACAAAAAGTAGCATTGAAAACTTAAACCCTCTAAAAGAACATACAACTGATTAGAATTTCAGGTACAGAAAAATTAATGCATTTAAACTAAATCTAATAGTTATATTAGTAATAGCAAAATGCAGATTCGACGCTATTTTTTCCAATAAAACGAAATATAAAATACTTAAATTAAAAAAAAAAAAATATATATATATTTTTTTTGAAGAATAAAAGTATAAAATAAATGTCCAACAAAACTTCAGAGTTGTTACATTCATATGGTTAAGAAGCGTGGGGCGCCCATGAAATACAATAGTATTGTTGTATGACTTGGCAAATAAAATGTTGGATACATTTATACGTTCAGATTGCTGCAGGTGAGTATTATGTGACACAGTCAGTTGTTACTCTACAATTCTACAGATTCTTTAATCAAGGAACTATGAGTGCTGACAACTGCATTGCATTACTGTTAAATGCTCCCATCGATCGTGGAATGAAATTAGCGATACCGCTGTCTTTGTGATTTGCAAAAAAATATTGAACTCATGGGCGCCCCACGCTTTCTCGTTAGTCATATGAATAGAACAACTCTGAAGTGTTTTTGGGGGAAATTTAAAAAAAGAAAGTTTTTTTTAATTATGGTTTTATTTGTTTTGTTTTTTTTACCACTGGACGTTTCAGTGGTGAATCTTCTGTGGTCATTTTTATAGCCATTGTTGATTGTTATCGAGAACGAGTAACCACGCAAAAGGAAACGCTGTAGTGAAAACGTGATGTCCCGAGCACTTTCCGTTCCTTAGATATCCGCAGAGGTTACTCTAGGGTATATGGAGGTTATTGGTGACCTACTTATCACGAAGTTTTGCATTGTCATGTGGGGGTGTGTAAGTGTACAACGTTGACTTTACATGGCCTGAGTCCAGTCATTCATACAAAGGTGTCTTTAAAAAAAAATGTTTTAAAATTGATTTATTTTGTACTTTTGCAAGATTTGACCCGCGGAGGTCACTCAAGGATCAGTGGAGTTCACCTGTGACAATCATGAGAGGTTGTATTATCATCAGAGGTGTCGGTAAGTGTACACATTAAGTACAAAGATCAGGAAGTAGGTCAAAATGGAGATGCAAGATTCGACCAGACACAAAAGCGTGTGGCGAATGTGTCAGCGAATGTGACAGTTTCAACATCTTGCACAAAACAATCACAAAAAAAAAAAAAAAAAAAAAAAAAAAAAAAAAACCAAAAAAACAACCCAACACTGGTTCAATGATAACATCTTAATCGTTTTAATTTCGATACAAACACTTTTTTTTTTTCAAATATACAGGAACAAAATTATTAATTAAACTCCAAGAAATTATAATGTAAATTATAGTTCAGTGCTTTTGTCATCGTTGTCGTACTCTTTCAGGATAAACAGAAATCTCAGAGTGTTCAAACACAGCACACTCAAATTGTAACAATCGTGGGCATGTGAGCAAGGGGGTAGTGGGTGGGTGGTGGAGGAGGGTAGTGGTTGCGGTGTCTATATCAATTGGGTCAAGGTCATAACATAAAGTAACTAACCACGTCATTTTTACGATCTACTTAACTTAATTTATTACGGTTGCACACTTTGCCAAATCACAGACATCATCACTTCATTGTGGTATAACGCCACGGCCAAAATGCACCTTCTTTCATTATTGAAGTGATTGAGAATGGTTTAAAAAAACAATTCTAGACGTGCAAACTGCGTTGTAAACATTAAATGTGTCTTTAGTGTCAATTCTATTAGTCAGTCAAATCGCGTCTGATTAACTTTTAAAACACACCCACCACAACCTGCTGGTTTTAAGTCTAAGCTCCGTCTCTTGGGTTCGTTTGACTCAGTTGAAATGTTAGCTTTCCCAATTAAAGCAGTCCCTGATCTGCTGTGTTGGTAACGGTCTCATCTGTTTGTCATTAGTTCAGTGCAATGTGTGTTTTTTTTTTTAAAGCTGCAAGCCACCAATTACTGTTAAATGCGTGGAGCGTGGCCGGAATAATGCGTGTAGGAATAATGCGTGTAGGAATATAAGAGTAATCTGTCATACTTACGCTTTGATTGAAATGAAATGTAATATGCATCACATGATTGTTTTAGATGGGTGGTGGCGTGGGGGGGGGGGCTCTGATGAAATGTAATATGCATCACATGATTGTTTTATATGGGTGGTGGCGTGGGGGGGGGGC